CTCCTGGGGCTTCCTCCTGGGGGTCCCTGGGGCACTGCGTGCCCCTGCTCTTGGGATCCAGGAGTGTAGAGCAAAGTGTCTTTTCAAAGGCAGGTGCTTCCTGACCTCGCCAACATGAATAATTTAAAACCCTACGCTTTACAACACCCAGCCCTCCAAAGCCCCATACAGCTCTAAAACTCCAAGATTTCCGTAGTCACATGAAGAAAGACAAAAAAGTTCTATTCCTTTAGATCAGGGGTCAGAAAACATTTCTAAAAAGAGCTAGAAAGTATTTTAAGCTTTGCCAGAAACAGGGTCTCTGTCTCACATCCATGTTTTTTGTAAGTTTTACAGCTCTTTAAGGACGTCAACCCCACTCTTCCTGCGCAGGTCACACAGAAACAGGCCGCGAGCAGCTGCCCGCGTGGGCCACGGCTGGCCGACCTCTGCTGTAGATGATGCGGGACCGTCTAAGCCCTAAAGATGCCTTGGGAAACAGGAACCGCCTACTGAAGCCCTACTCAGAGTTCCCATCAGTCTGCAATGCACAACCGGGGAACCGCTATTTGTAAAGGTATCTGGCAAACTCTAAGTGGTTTCCTGAAACCTTCCTCTTTGGACTCCGAAGTGGCTGCTAAGTATTTGTGTGACGACCTCACATCCCTGTCATAACAAGGAGGAAAGATCACCTTGTTGAAATAACCTTCCTGCCTAGAATCCAGCAAACACAAACTCAACAGGGTCACAAACCAAAAAAATATTTTACAAGGAAAACGTATCGCTATCCTAACACACTGATAGACTCGGGATTTCTCTAGAACCAGACAACATAATATAAATACAGCCAACTCTAAATCCTTCCTTTAGAATAGAAGATGCTATTTTACTAACAGTCCTTCAAGACTGTTAACAACTGCTAGTGGTTAAACCAAGAAAAAGAACCATTCCAGAAACAAGAAAATGCTAAATTTTCCAAGAGTAACAAAATTTTATGCTCAATCTCAGTAGAAGTACTGAGAAGTACTCAGTAGAAGTACACAAAAGACCTCAGCAAGCTGGACAGGTAGGACAATTTTAATTTAATTCCCAAATTCTTCTTAGGTAGTATGTAAGTCCCAACAACATGTTGAGCCAGTGTACTGTGCTATAATCCTAAATCAAGGTAGAGAGAACGAAAAACAGAATAAACCAAGAAAGTTTTGATTTGCAGGATGGTGAAAGGAGCGGACTCAAGATGTGCTCAGTAACTTAAATCTTTACCCTTGCTTTATCCCCTGAAATGACTCTACTGTAGTAAAAAGTGCAAATGCGTGTGCAATGTGAACACGCGGCAGCGAACACTGGGACAGGTGTCCATGAAGAGGAAGGCGGAGGTGAGGGCGGTGCTGGGGCCTGCTGGGGGAGGGTGAGTGTCACTGTGCAGGTGCTAGGAAAGCTCTGGAGGAGCCACATCCCCGCCACCTGAGATCAAAGGGGCCCCGGGGACAGAGATCGCCTTGTTTCTCATTATGAGGCCTTTGCATTTCACAGGCACCTGCGGAGCAGCAAGTCATTTCTGGAGAAATCAACTCGTTCTCATTTTAACAATAAAATTTTACTTTATTACAGTTCTTTCGCTCATTGAGATTTCTTCATAGGAAATCCCGGTATAAATTCAGCTAATTAAAGGGGAAACAACACCTAACTGGCTTATTTCAACAACAGGAAAACCTGCCCGGCATCTCCGACATCTCCAGTGACTTGGGCTTTCATTTTGCCAGACTACACAATGTAAACTAAAATATATCAGAACATGGCAAAACCTAATTTTATTAAGCTATGTACATTGAAAGTCAAACTCAACCAGAAGCCCTCTTGTGCCCAGGGTATTCTCTACAGCTCCCACAGTTGTTCTCCAAAGTCAAATGAATACCACCCTTTCTTTTCTTATTGAAAATATGTTTTTCCATTACTTTGCAGGGCATGGAGCTCTGGTTTCAATCCATATAACCAAATATTTCTATCTCCTGCCCAAGGCGTCATCTCCTCTAGCAGTTCTTCCTTCAGTACTCCACCCTCTCTCATCAGAATGAAGAGGAGGAGGGGAGAAGAAAAGAAGAAAAGAGGATAAGGGAAAAGGGGACTAGTTCAGCATTTTGTGGACCATTCCCAGATGAGGGAACTCGGGTGCAGACAGGTGACGCGATGTGGCCAAGATCATACAGCCGGTCAAGTTAAATTCCTTTAGACTGTCCCTTAACCTCTGCCCATGACTGTGCCCTTGACATCATTTCATTGTTTCTTAAAACTCTACTGATATGTCTGTCTCCTCCACTAAATGCTAAGTACCTCGAGGGTGAGAACTTTATCTTCATAATCACGTATCCTGGTTTTAATTCAGTAGTTGCTGATTAGATGTTGGTTGGATGGTAGGATAGACAAATGGACAGACAAAAAAAAAATGAACCAAAAACCATTGAGGGAAGTCAGTTGAGGACTAATGTCTGTAAGGGCAGAAGTATTTTTCACTGAAGGTTACACCTTGAATTCATCATGGACTCCATGAGATCATTAAAATTTCATTGTTCTAAAAGATATATTTGTGAACCTTGCCATAAAACAAATAGCTCAAACATTTTTTCAAGTTAACTAAAATGATAATTCCTAGATAAGAGCATAAAATGTTTGTTTTTTTGCAATTCAGGAAAAAAGCTAAATTTTGCTCCAAAAGAACTCAAGAAGTTAAAATCTAATTTGTTTGCTAGGGAAGATTTGCTGCAACAGATTACCTCTTAATGGAAACACGCTACTGGGCACTGCTCGCTGCCAGCAGGGGGTGGTACAAAGTGCCATAAAACTACGGAGAGAGCAAAGGGCAGCGCTCAGGGGAGTTAACACGGTCCTTCCAACAGTAAATCTGGGCCAACACGGCACACTATTTACCTACCTTTCTGCTATAAACCCAACAATAATTAGATTCACCTGGGCCATGGTGTTTTCTGAGAAAATCCCTATCTGGTACAATGTAGATTTCATCATGCTCTTGTTCCTCATGTAAGGGGAACGATAAATTCTCCATTGTACTATCACTAAGCTTTTGAAGACTTCTTTATCCACTAAGACTTCTATAAAATAAGAATAAACACAATAAAATAATAAATGCATCTCTTGACATAGGATGATTCACTGTTCTAACAGTTACCATGTGGTACTCTAAACTCTTAATGCTAAATTAAGACAAAAATCCTTCAGTGAACACAATGCTGAAGAATGCAATAAATAAGGTAAATTTATAATAAATGGTTTATGGTTATTTTTATATCACTAGAAATCAATTTACCTGGAAAACACAATGTGGCCATTCTCTACACTGATACAGAAATACTGGGATGTATTACAAAGAGAAAAAAAAAATCAAGGGGCAGAAAACCTTCACAATATGCTGTTTCCGTGTGAAAGGGAAAATGAGAAAACATATTTTCATACGCAGTTGCTTTTGGACATAAAATGAGCAAAAGCAATTAACATATAGGATAATGGAGATGAAGAAAGAACAGAATGGATAGAGGAAGGAACAAGACTTCGCAGTATTTATCTTTTTATATAATTTTTTCCAGATTGAAATGTATTACTCATTCCCAATGTTATACTTAAAATGCATTTTGAAAAACCCAGTTAGGGAAATAAAGACAAACTTTGGAGCCTCATTATTTATCCTTTCGCTTTCCCCACTCTTCCTTTCAAGAGGCGTGCATGGAATGTGCACACAGGTTGCCAGAGCCTGTAGGGTCTAGAACGTCCCTTTAAAGTGGGGGCGGGGGTAGGTCTTTGAATGCTTTGCTCTTGACCTGTGGGGCCTCAGTCAAAACTGAGAAAGGACAACTCCCACCCTGACATCCAGTTTCACAAGAGAAGGCGCACGGAACAGCACTGAGTCCAGGAAGAGACCCTACTTCGGCAAAGGTGGCATTAAATGGGGGTTGCGGAATAATTAATTTCCATTAACAAGATTCTTTGGATGTCTCAGCACTCAAAATGTAACTGTTACACAGAATTGTATACTCTGGCTATAACCTGATTTAATTTAAAGTTTTCCTCATTTAAAACAGTAACTGCCCAGGTGGGCATGTGTGCCACGTGGCACGGAGAGCACGCACAGGGCAACACCTGTGTGCTGCCCTCCGGAAATGAATGAGGCTGAGAGCTGCCGCGCCCAGCACTGCAGGCAACCAAGGGCCGAGAGCACCTGGGCACCCCTGTGACCCGTTTCAGCACAGCCCTGGGCGTTGGCGCACCCACCGGGAAGGCTGTTTGGGCCAGGCTTTCCCCAGTATGGATTCTCTCTACACACTGCCTTTGTTGTGCACAGGAGACAACAGTGACGGGCACATGGCCGGGCACCAGTGTCTGTGTAGGGCAGCAGACCAGATGGAACCCAGGTGACTGGGACTGTGATCTGGCGCCTTAGCCGCTAAAGACCGAGGGGCAACTCGAGAGACGCCCGGTGCCTACAGGAGGCTCCTTGGCTGACAGCAAGGCTTCCTCTTCTCTTCCCCCTGTAGACAAACTTCTCTGCAAGGCCGAAAGCAGTTGCACCGCCCTAGAAACTAGTCCTAAAGCTCCAGCATCATCATACTCAGCACCTTCAGTAAAGGCTAAAGCTCTCCGTTACGTAATAAAAGCGTGTCAGCTACACACAGTGGTAGAAAGTAATAGTCTATAAGGACTACAGCAGTTTAATAAACTGTTCAATACACTGTGAGGCAACAATTGACATTTTAAAAAGCACATGTGTTAGTTGTTTCTCTTTGATAATTTCTAATTTTAAAGCATCAAAAAGTCCACAGGATGCCAACTCCAATAAGGGATAAAAATATGACAAGACCCAAAACAGCAGAAGTGACACATATGACAAACCATAAAACGTGAAAAATTACCACCCCAGTCACTCGTTGGACATTTAGAATCGCAGCATCTTTAACATCTGCAGGGCACACAGCACTCATCTCCCGCCGGGGGCACAGCCCGGGGCGTGGTACCTGCAGAAGGCCGGGCCGTGCTCCGTCATCGCCACCAGCAGCTTCAGCGCGTACGCAGGCACCGGGTCGGGCTCCGTGAGGATGTGCTCGTACCTGAAACGACAGCGAGATTGGAGACCTGTTTGCGGCTCTCCTCCCTCACACTGTCCTCTGCACAACGAAAACAATATACCATGAGGTGCAAACATCTAGGGGGAAAAAAACCACACAGATGCTGCAAGAAATGAATGAGCTGTTGGATCTGCACTGGCCATGGGGATGAGGACACTGACCTACCTCAATGAGACAATTAGTGCTGAGCTGCACACAGAGCCGGAGACCTTAACATTAGGCATCTGTGCAGAGGTTCCAAGACCACCTCACATTCAGTACAGGGTTCACAAGACGCACAGTCATACTCATGGTGAAGATTGAGTACAGTAGCCCCACCCCATCCAGTGGGATATGTTCCAAGACCCCCTGTGGATGCCAGAAACAGCACATACTACTGAACCCTACATAGAGCAGGTTTTTCCCTATTCATACATATATACAGTTTATGGCTTCTCTTTGGCATGTCCAGATCGCCAGCATCACTACTCTTGGGCTTCAGGACCATCATTAAGTAAAACAAGGGTGACTTGAACACAAGTACTGCAGTGACCATCAGTCTGATGGCCCAGATGGCGACTAAGCGACTAACAGGCTGGTAGCGTGTACAGAGTGGATGCACTGGACAAAGGCGATTCGCATCCCGGCAGGACAGCGCAAGATTTCATCACACTACCCAGAACAGCACGGGACCTCAAACTTGTGAATTATTTACTCCTGGAATTTGCTTTTTAATATTTTCAGACCATAGATGACCAAGGGTAACCGGAAGGGTGGAAAGTGAAACCACAGCTAACAGGGACCACTGCACAGCAACACAACAAGGACAGACAGCGGGGTCACAGGGAGAAAGCCACAGCGCAGTCTGGAGGATTCTGTGCGCAGACCTCCTTAGACTCTTCCTCTCCCACGAGGGGTGACACCGGGCACTCTCTCTCCCCAGCCACAAAAATGCAGACGCGTGTGACATTTCCGCCCAAGGGAGCCCATTAGAGTCTAAAGTGACCAAGGTTTTGAATGGGGGCTGGTCGAGCAGGCAACATCTGTCTGACGAGTATCAACATCCCAGGCTCCCAGAGGAAAGCAGGTATTCACCATATGCCATGCTGCTCACAGTCTGGGTACCGTCAACTGCCCTCAGCAGGCCAGTGGTAACTGAGGGCACTCCCAGAGCCACGTTCTGAGATGCCAGCCAAGGGCCAACTTAGCAAGCAGGCTTTTGGAAGGACAGCAGTCTCAGGCTGCTATGGTAACTCTTTTCCACAGCATTCTTCTTATTAAAACTTAAAAATCTGAAGTGAAATATTGCCAGAGAGAATAAAACTCCAAAGGTCGTTATTAAGAGTTCCCACAGCAAGGTTCAGACTATGCTCCCATGTTATTTGCTAAGCAGAGGCTGGTTCACATACTGTGTCAACCTATTTAGGTCCAGCTGTCCAGAGAACAGCATGTAGATGCTTAAGCATTGGATGGATGGATGGAAGGATGGATGGATGGATAGATGGATGAATGGATGGATGGACAGACGTAATGGCAGGTGCATGAACCAATGTACAGACAGATGAACAAGCTAGCCAACCAATCAACTTTCTGACAGCTATCTGGCACAACCAACAACTAAAAAGGCAGCTATCTCCAGAAAATCCAAAATGTAGCTTTAAAAACCCATGACATGAAGCAGATGCTTTTCATGGAGAGAATAGGGCCCCAGGCTCTTATCACAGCCTGTTTACTCTCGTTCTGAAAATCATTATATAACAAGCTTAATTATGCAGTCTCTAAGCCCACAGCCATTAAAAAGGAGCCAAGTAACAGGAGGAGAGGAACCCTTACAGAAAGGCAACCTGAGAATTCCAACCGGGACTTGAAAGCCCAAGAAAAAACAAAAGGAGGCAACCCAGGGAGCAGTCTGAGAGCATCCCCCACAGGCCCCGGGGCCCAGCACACACCATGATGTTCAAAATGGGGTAGTGAGTCAAAAAAATGTTAAACTGGGAATGGTCTGTTTAAGAAGGCAGGAAGAGCCCAGCCCGGTGTGGCTCAGTGGTTGAGCATTGACCCATGCACCAAAACATCGCCAGTTTGATTCCCAGTTTGGGCACATGCCCAGGTTATAGGCCAGATCCCCAGTAGGGGCATGCAGGAGGCAGCCAATCAATGTTCTCTCACATCGATGTTTCTCTCTCTCTACTTTCTTCGCTCTCTAAAAGCAATAAATAAAAAAAAAAAAATTTTTTTAAACATAGTGGGAAGAAACATATTTTAGGAAACCTTCTTATAAAACTTTTTTAATTATGGCAATTAAAAGATTTGCTCATGTATGACAAGATAAAAGACAAAATACCAAATCATTCATAACAAAATAAAATACTAATAGATCAAAGAGAACCGTATATTTAGATAAATAGCCCAACCAAGCATGAATAATTTTAGAAATGAAAAAAAAGAAATAAAATTTAGGAAAATAATTCATTTTATCACATGAACAAAACAAAAATCAAAGAAACTTCTTTAGAAGGGATAAAAATGTATTCATAAAACTTAGCATCCAAATTGAAGTTTTTTTAAAAGAGAGAATCATTCTTCTTTTCTCTAAATGCTCTTATCAAAGGTACTGAAGACCACTTACTGGCTCGATGACTTACTTGCCAGAAGGCTCACACTACTGAGAAAAGCTGTCCCGCTCCCACGTATGGCTAATTACGGCGAGCGGATATTGATTCAGACCAGCAAAGGTGAAAGGCGCACAGGGTGGAGTCCTGGAGGGACCAGGCACAAGCTTCCAGCTGTCCCCTCAAAGTGGAGTTGTGTGGACAGGGCTTACTCCTGCCAGCAACAGTGTGCCAACACGTGTGGTCCACTGCCAGCCAGGAGAGCTCACAGGAGCACGGGTGTCCAGGGTTTCATTAGGGGCCAGTCACAGAGTCAGGGCGCACCAACCCCTCTGGAGTCAGGCTGATGGGGTGTGGCCCAAGGCCCTACTACAATTCACACTGTCAATGTAAATCATCGCCCCGTGTACACTGAGACCCTCTTATCAGGCAGGACATGCCAAAGGCTCAGAAGTTATCTCCCAGAAGGCGGTCAAGGGCCAGGTCCTTTGTGACGTGCAGGATCTGAGCACCCCACGTCTGCTAAATCAATCCTTCGGGACACGCACCCTTAACAGAAATACTGAGCACTGCTGGGCTTAAAGAGAGGCATGACTGTCAGACAAGAACGAGCTCCTCTACTGCTTTCTGGCGTCCCGAGACCCTCGGCCCGAGATTTCAACGAAGTGGGGGTGAGAAACTTGACGAGTCACTCCCATGCCCCAGATACCCAGCTCCCGGCCCTACCCCAGGCTGGGCGGAATCGCCCAGGGGGAGACCACAAGCCCAGCGGTTTTAAAAAGCTTCCTTAGCCCTGGCCAGTTTGGCTCAGCGGTTAGAGCGTCCGCCTGCGGTCCGGAGAGACCCGGGTTCGGTTCCCGCTAAGGGCACGTACCTCGGTTGCAGTTTGTCCCCGGCCCTGGTTGGTCGTGTGGGTGGCAGCCACTCGATGTGTCCCTTTCACATCGATGTTTCCCTCTCTCTCCCTTCCTCTCTCTCCCTCCCACTCTATCTGTACAAAAAATGGAAAAATGTCCTCGGGTGAGGATAAAAAAAAAAAAAAGCTTCCTTACATGCCTATGTAGAAAACAAAATAAAATACAGACCACTAGTGAGACATGCACTGGAGAACATCTCAACAGCACTAAAACATATAGATTATTTTAAAATAGACGTAGCTAGAATATGCAGAATCTACATTTAAAAAGAAAACACTGCCCTGGCCAGTTTGGCTCAGCGGTTAGAGCGTCGGCCTGCGGTCCGGAGAGACCCGGGTTCGGTTCCCGCTAAGGGCACATACTTCGGTTGCAGTTTGTCCCCGGCCCTGGCTGGTCGTGCGGGTGGCAGCCACTCGATGTGTCCCTTCACGTCGATGTTTCTCTCTCTCTCCCTTCCTCTCTCTCCCTCCCACTCTATCTGTACAAAAAAATGGAAAAATATCCTCGGGTGAGGATAAAAAATAAAAAAAAGAAAACACTGATGGAGCGTTACTGACTGAAATACAAATGTGTTGAGGTTGTCTGAGGTGATCTAACCTTGAAACAGAAGGAAGAAGGAAGTCTAAACCAGCCTGTGCATGAGAATTTTTGCAAAGAATATATGTTTTCCTCCCCTTGAAAAAGGGGTAAAATTCGTAACGGATATGTTTAGAATACAAATAGTGAATATTCTGAATGTATTTTAATCAAAGATAGGTTTGTAATGGGCAGCAAGAACTAGTCCAAAGAATGCTGTGATTTAGTAAGCTTGTCTTCCAGAGAGATGAAGCAGCTCAACTGTTGGTATTGGACCTCACACTCCTCTGAATGCCACTTCGCAGAAAAACCAATAATAATAATAATAATAATAATAATGATAAGCCAGGACTCCTGAAAGGACTTCGAAGGAGGGTGGCCACTCTGCTGGACAGGGCCCTGAGCCCGGCCACAGAGATCACTGTCGACCTAAGAGCACACTGTCCAGATAAGGTCCCAAGTCCCCACTCTTCCACCTCCAGGATCCTCCCCAAACAAGGGGCCTAAGCTAGGCCCTGAACAGCTAGAACCCAGGCAGGAAAAGCCATGCTCATGCCCCCTAAATTCACTTCTGTTTCAAAGGAGAGACAACGTCTAAAAACCACATTCAAGGACCCAAGGGACAAAGCCTTCTCTGTCTTGCAAGTACCTGGTGTAAGCAGAGCCCCACTGGGTAGGCTGGCAGAAGGCTGAAACCGGCTATCTGAAGAACTCAGATTCCTGAGAAGCTATCCCAGCGATGTGACCTCATTGGCCAAGTGGAAAGAAGTGCCTATTCTGTAGGGGTGGGGGGACCAGGCCACAGAGTCACACTTCACGTCTCCAGGGAGTGGATTCTGAGAATTTGTCAGGAGGGAGGGATCAAGAATTCACATATAAATTAAAGGAATGGGAAGGT